TGTAACATAGACTATGTTATATAAATACAGTGTGTTTACGATAAATATAATAAAATAAGTATTGATTTTTGAGAATTTGTTTCACTCGATAATATATTTGAGTGAGAGAGAGACTTAAATAAGTTAATGTTTATAATTAAATTATATGCTCTATTTGTTTAACAGGCAAATGAAAATATAATAAAATACATCTTAATTTGCATTTGTTTTGTGAGTTTGGGATATATTTCTATTGACATTACAAAAGAAACGCCGGTTTTGTCGGCAATTGTCTTTATATTAAAAACATATTATATATAACACAATGAGATATAAGTTGTATAAGAATAGATACATTTTTCTTAGAAATGTACTTTATATACAGGTATGTTGAGACAGTGTATGTTATGTATAGAATTAATAGTGAGAATAATTGTATTTATCTGTCATTGTAGTGGTTTATTAACATACAATTACCATACTTTGGATTAATTCGTTTTCATAACTAATTTGTGAGATTATAATAATTTTTTGCATTTATATTTATAAATATTTGTATTGATATTTACAAGTATAATAAGTGGTAAAATATTTGCAGTATTGGTTTAGACAGTTTTTCGTAAACATTGATAATATAACTTTGTATATTCACAATTATTACTTCGGGCAATAATACAAGTAAATTTTGAATTGATATTTAAATCCTAAATGCAACTTTAAATACTGTATTTATTGAAATATGTAATATGTAAAGTGAATCTTTATATATAATACAATCAAATTTATCTATTAGAAAACTATGCCAATAAACGTGGGCATTCAATCATGAACGATTTATTTCATCTACGTAAATGGGATCACATCGGTTAAAACACATATCCTTAGGCTTTAATCTCTCTCTCTCTCTCTCTCTCTCTCTCTCTCTCTGTTTTTGTAAAATTTAAAGAAATACTTGATTTTTATTATACCCTGAATTTTCAAGCCGTTTGCAATCTATGTAACATAGACTATGTTATATAAATACAGTGTGTTTACGATAAATATAATAAAATAAGTATTGATTTTTGAGAATTTGTTTCACTCGATAATATATTTGAGTGACATTTGATTGAATCCTATTTTCTGTTGTATTTTATTTTTAGTAATTTTTAAAAGAAAGACAAATTCCCAAAGCATTTGGTTTTAAAGTTACAAAATATACTTTTAAGTTGCTTTCAGTTTATTTTCCATGTAATCACTGATCGGCTACTTAAGATTATATGCGGAAAAAATTAATATACTTTTATTTTTCAAGTTTTTATAGTATTAACGTTATATCTAGCGTTGCCAACTGATATCTTGAAATCCTGTATAAATGTGATATTTTTGCTCAAAATTTCTATACCATATTACAAATTATTTTTCTTAAATGTTTTTTAAATGGAAATTATGTTTAATAAGGTTTTCGATGCACTCATTATTAATATGGATTTAGTACAAAATTTGTTAATTTATATGTTAATTAAAAACCACACATTGTTTTGAAACGTTCAATTATTTAAGAATAACATAAGATTATTATAAAATTTTTATGTATTTCTACATTAATAATGAAATATGCATTTCAGCAATACTCGAGATAGTATGTTATGTGTTAATCAAAACTATTTTATTCGCAGATGATTCTTAAAATATTTTTTAATGTATTTTTCAATGTTTAGGAATTACCCGTTCCTGTATTCTGCAAAAATTCTTTGATTCCTGTATAATACAGGCAATTTCTGTATCTTGGCAACACTAATTATAAAAGTAAATTAATCCGATTTATAAAAGTAAAAATAATACTTTTTGTGAAATGTTTGATTTTTTTTCTAGAAATGGTTTTTAATGAACCACTTATACAATAAACAAATATATTCTTTACATTGTATACATTGCTTGTTATGCATCTATAAGTAGATTATGGTTTTGTAATAATCCTATTGTTAGTAAATGAATGAGTGGTTTCCAAATATTATTAATATTTATAATAAACATACAGTAGTTTGAAAATAACTAAACATTTATTAATAGAGTAAATACTTGGTAACCACGAAAAACACTTGGAAATAACATTTTCCTTAAACCTCATAGAAATCTACAGAATTTCTTTGTATTTTAAACTCAAGTGTTTCAGAAACTGATTTCATTCAAAATGTAAGATCCATTAAAATATATTCACAAATCTAATAGGAAATTATGAATACAATATTGCATGTTCAAAATACTGTGCTTCACATATTTTTGACAATGTTTAAAAATAAATTGTATGGTCATAAAAAATAACCAAAATATACCCTGATTATATTGCCTGAGTGTGGGTCGACTACAAGTGGTTTGTTATTATGTAAAATATATTTCTGTCTATTTTTAAAAGCGTTTTAACAATAATTGAATATTAAATACACAATTGTTGTACACTTTCTATTCAAATATACAATCTATTCATTTATATTTCTCTGTATTGTAAATGTTTGTCATAGAAATAGCAATTATTTTGTAATGTTTTTTATATGTCGTTTAATTACCGTAAATAATTTACCATAATATTACGTATGGTTTGTTTTGATAACATCAATCCATTTGTTACAGTAATTATCATGTAACACATTAATTTACCCACAGTAAATATTAGAGGGTTCATGCTAATCCTTCATTTGCACATAGATTGTTATAGTTATTGCTTTTAAATTACATTATTTTTTGGTAAATATAACATAATCTACAGTATATGTAAAGTGATATACTTAACATATTCGCTAGCGTTATTAGTAAAGACTTGACATATATGTGGTAATAAGCCCAAAAATATGTAATATAATATGTGGTAATAACTCAAAAAATATGTAATTATATGTGGTAATAAAATACCTAAATTTTGGCTTTTAAATTCAATAAACGCTTTAAAATTTTATATTTAACAAAAACTATGCTAGATAACCACAAATATACTTTATTTTATACAGTTTTCATAATTTTAATCATCGGAATTAATGCTTCTAGTTATTTTAAAAAGTATGAATATAGTATACGTGAACAAAAACTACTTTTCGCTTATGAATACTATTGGGAATGTTAGTTTAATAGAATAAATTAACATTTAATCCAAAATTATAATTATTTTGTTTTTAATTTTGTAAAACTATTGACAAAATTGTATATTTTTCATGTATTTCATTGATTTCCCCAAAATATGTGAATATATGTGCTAACATTCAAAATATGTAATTATATGTATTTATGTGATAACAAATAGGTCTCAAAATACTCCATATTATATGATTCGGATAGATCTTTAAGCTAGAGTGTGATATCACTTACCACAAAAATATGTAAAAATATGTAAAGTCAAGTCTTTGGTTATTAGTGACATAATCCATTTGCATAAATGGGGACAACTATGTAAATTTTGCAAAGTTTTATTTGAAATTTAATATTTAATAATCGTAGGATTATTGTAATTATTACCATATTACTTTGGAAAGCATTTAAATTCCATGAATGTCAGTAAAATAAGTCTGAATTTACAGAATTTATCGATCATTAATTTGTATGGTTTGATTACAAAGGCTGAAACAATAGCCAAAATACAATGCCATGCATTATATGTGCACTTTTAGAGTACTGTATATTATGTGCGATATTTAATACTGAATTCAAAGTGAATACGAGAGGGAAAGGGATGGATGGCTAACGTGTGTACGAAAGTGACAGGACATGCGCTCCGGTATTAGACACACATATCCTACACATTACTCCTCACCTTCTGGTCGGCTGAACACTAAAGAATATTCTCTACAGAATCCCTATTCTTATACATAGTCTCAATATCACCCGATATATGATATATTCTGCGGACAATAAAATAGAAATGTTTTTGTGAGTTGTGTTTCCAATTGTGACGTTTATTAAGGAAATATTGTTTTAGATTTCATCTAGGTGATTAATTTTCTAGCCATTTATTTTCTACGACAATCAACTAAAAATTATTTATTATCATAATATAAACTTATTATAACGTGTGCAGATTGTATGATTAATAACTAAATTAACGATAAATATAAACGAGTTATTTATATAAAAATCCAGTGTTGAAAGCAAAACAAAAAACGTAAAATTAATCAAGTGTTGAAATAAAGTGAAATTGAAAAATAGCTATTGAAAATAGTCTTTTATTTTAGGCACAAACTTATCAGACAAACTCTTTTAATTAATTTTGAAAAATAGAGTTGTAGAGAAGCCTCTCTTCTTCACCTTCTTATTTCTTCTTCTTCTTAGCCTTATGGGATTATCAAAAAACTTCTACAAAAAAAAACACAGAAAACTAAACAACAAAAAACAATCAGAAAAAATGTCTGAAATATTTGTAACAAACTTAACCCAAATTGAAGACGATATGATCTTTGTTCCGGTGATGGGCGCCGACGGCGGCAATCAATATAACACTTACGACAACACCAGTCGGTCGGCGAACGAATCAAACGCCGATTATATGCGCGAATTGTTGCGACTCTTACGGGAGAGACACCAAAAGCCGTTGAGCGCCGAAGACCTGCGGCGGAACATCTTTATCATACTTTGTTACTCCATCATCATCATGGTCAGTTTGTGCGGCAATTTGCTCGTGGTCAAAGTGATCGCGTTTGGCAAACGCAAAATGTTGACCACAACCAACATATTGATCGCGTCGCTGGCCTTCTCGGACATCGTGATGACGGCGTTCAACATCCCGTTCAATGTGGCCCGACTGCTGCTCGAGTCGTGGCCGTTCGGCTCATTCATGTGTGTGTCGGTGCCCTTTGTTCAGGTGACGTGTGTGTATGTGAGCACCTTTACGATGACGGTCATCGCGTTCTACCGCTGGNTGATGACGGCGTTCAACATCCCGTTCAATGTGGCCCGACTGCTGCTCGAGTCGTGGCCGTTCGGCTCATTCATGTGTGTGTCGGTGCCCTTTGTTCAGGTGACGTGTGTGTATGTGAGCACCTTTACGATGACGGTCATCGCGTTCTACCGCTGGTGGACTCTAAGCCATCCGACCACCACCAAAACGGTGTCCCGTTTTCAGTTAATTATAATCATTACTGCCGTGTGGCTGTTGGCCGGACTATTTTCTGTGCCGCACTCGGTGTTCAACGAGACAATAGTCATACCAACCGCCGATCTGATCCGTTGTCACGTTATACACCCGGAGGTGCCCTTTGATTTGTCCCTATGGCTGTCGGTCGAGGCGTTTACCACACAGTACTTCATACCGTTAGGCCTAACGCTATGGCTGTACATACAGATCGGTGTGATTGTGGCCAAACAGGGAGCGATGGCAGGCCAGTCTAACGACAGCCGCCGTCGGCAACAGTCCAGCGCCCGTAAGCGCCGGATTGTGATGTTGGCACTCGTGGTGACCACTTTCGCCATTTGTTGGCTACCACTCAATCTCTATCACCTGTTGTGCGACTTTCATCTGATTGACAGAAATTTCAAAGTCTTTATTCTCTGCCATTGGTTCGCCATGTCTTCGGTTTGGTAATCAAAAAGCCTTTCATATTTTTTACTGTGCTTTTAATTTTGCTTTCATCGTAATTAGTATTGTTTACACAATTATGTAATAGATATTATTTGTTTTATCAATAAGTAGTTTGTTTGGACAGTTGAGTTGACCACTGTTTAGTGTTTCTTATTGTGTTTATCTGTTAACTGTTGTATTGTGAAGACTGTGTGTAAATAGTTTTATTGATTTAATGCACTATTATTTTATATAATGGCTATTTTCGAATACATTTTGTTAATATCCGATATATCGGTATTGAAATCAATAACTTTGTGATTTATTCAATGAAATTTTGAATTGAGATTTCACTTTATATATTACTCGTGTATTTTTCTTACGAGAAATAACCCGTAAAGTGATTGATTGGGGGTATTGAGAGTCGAAGCATGCAATAACATGATTGAAAATATATTTTATAAAACATGGCAAACATGTTCAATGTGATTTATACTGGGATACTTTTGTTACGCTTATCACGTTTAAAAATTGAACTTAAAAATTTATTGACTTTTCATTTTGTTTCTTTTCATAAAACATTTTATATTTAATTACAAAAATTAACTTTAATGGACAAATATTAATGAAACATTTTGCTTTGTTTCCTTCTCTCTCTCTCCCTCTCCCCCTCTCTCTCTCCCTCTCTAACCAAATACAGTTACAATCCATTCATATACTGCTATTTAAACCAGAATTTCAAGAATGCGGCCAAAAAATGTTACCAATTTGTGTTATGCCTGCGACCGACGCCGGGATATGCGCTCAATAATATGATGGCCACAGCAGACGAGCCCACGAATACAACTCATGTGAATAACTTTGAAATGAGAGAACTTATTAAAGACGACAATTCAGATAATAATGAGAGCACTGGTGAACACGAATCCGATTAATTAGATATTCTTCTAATACGTATAGTATTTGTATATAATATAACATAATATGATATATACCTTGTATTCTGTATTTAGTGTAAACTCAATTTATATAACATCTGTGTAACAAAGTGTAGGAATCAGTGTCTGAATTATTTAACTAACAAAATATCTTTACGTTATATTTAATTCATTACTGATATGGTATTTGTATATTTAATGCATGTTTTAATATGAATTATTTTTCAATTTTACCGAGTTTTACTGGGTGTACAATAATAATCTAGACAATTTTATCAATTAAATTTTAATACATAAAGATCTCTATTTACTTTTACCAAGTATACAGAATTTTAAATATATATTTATTCATGGATACCATGCTGCTCTATTACTAAACAAATATATATTTTGAACAATAATATTCAGAATAGTATATCTTTTAAGTATAAAATTATTAAACAGTATAAGATATATTTTTACAAAATTATATATTTACTTAAGTAAGTAGGATATCTAATAAATGTAAATTCTGTATTAGGGTTACCAGTTAAAAGATTATTGTTGTTAAGCATTATAATTTTTTAAATCAATATTTTATGTGTTTATATGTTTCTAATTTACAATACTTATATGATATATTTTATTGGCAAAATTTATTATCAATTCTACGAATTCGTGAATTTTAAATCAAAAACTAGTCATTTATTTCGAAATAATCTTTTATATTTTTTATATTTAATCTCTTCTCTCTCTCTCCCCCCTAATACAGAATTTACATTTATTAGATATCCTACTTACTTAAGTAAATATATAATTTTGTAAAAATATATCTTATACTGTTTAATAATTTTATACTTAAAAGATATACTATTCTGAATATTATTGTTCAAAATATATATTTGTTTAGTAATAGAGCAGCATGGTATCCATGAATAAATATATATTTAAAATTCTGTATACTTGGTAAAAGTAAATAGAGATCTTTATGTATTAAAATTTAATTGATAAAATTGTCTAGATTATTATTGTACACCCAGTAAAACTCGGTAAAATTGAAAAATAATTCATATTAAAACATGCATTAAATATACAAATACCATATCAGTAATGAATTAAATATAACGTAAAGATATTTTGTTAGTTAAATAATTCAGACACTGATTCCTACACTTTGTTACACAGATGTTATATAAATTGAGTTTACACTGAATACAGAATACAAGGTATATATCATATTATGTTATATTATATACAAATACTATACGTATTAGAAGAATATCTAATTAATCGGATTCGTGTTCACCAGTGCTCTCATTATTATCTGAATTGTCGTCTTTAATAAGTTCTCTCATTTCAAAGTTATTCACATGAGTTGTATTCGTGGGCTCGTCTGCTGTGGCCATCATATTATTGAGCGCATATCCCGGCGTCGGTCGCAGGCATAACACAAATTGGTAACATTTTTTGGCCGCATTCTTGAAATTCTGGTTTAAATAGCAGTATATGAATGGATTGTAACTGTATTTGGTTAGAGAGGGAGAGAGAGAGGGGGAGAGGGAGAGAGAGAGAAGGAAACAAAGCAAAATGTTTCATTAATATTTGTCCATTAAAGTTAATTTTTGTAATTAAATATAAAATGTTTTATGAAAAGAAACAAAATGAAAAGTCAATAAATTTTTAAGTTCAATTTTTAAACGTGATAAGCGTAACAAAAGTATCCCAGTATAAATCACATTGAACATGTTTGCCATGTTTTATAAAATATATTTTCAATCATGTTATTGCATGCTTCGACTCTCAATACCNTAGAGTACTGTATATTATGTGCGATATTTAATACTGAATTCAAAGTGAATACGAGAGGGAAAGGGATGGATGGCTAACGTGTGTACGAAAGTGACAGGACATGCGCTCCGGTATTAGACACACATATTCTACACATTACTCCTCACCTTCTGGTCGGCTGAACACTAAAGAATATTCTCTACAGAATCCCTATTCTTATACATAGTCTCAATACCACCCGATATATGATATATTCTGCGGACAATAAAATAGAAATGTTTTTGTGAGTTGTGTTTCCAATTGTGACGTTTATTAAGGAAATATTGTTTTAGATTTCATCTAGGTGATTAATTTTCTATCCATTTATTTTCTACGACAATCAACTCAAAATTATTTATCACCATAATATAAACTTATTATAACGTGTGCAATTTATATGATTAATAACTAAATTAACGCTAAATATAATCAAGTAATTTATATGAAAATCCAGTGTTGAAAGCAAAACTAAAAACGTAAAACTAATCAAGTGTTGAAATAAAGTGAAATTGAAAAATAGCTCAACTTTTATCAGAAAATAAAATCCGTGTTTGAATAGTCTGTTTGAGAAAATTAATTAAAACTTTTTATCTCAACATCTCTTCGGAGAGAAGAAGTGGAAGAATAAAGAAGAAGAAGAATCGGAATAC